CCAAAACCCCAAAACCCCAAAACCCCAACTTTTATTTCATGCTCAAAATGTGATATGAAATATAGTATTATAGTATAAACTACAAAAAATATACGAATGGCAGACTTTAGTAGAGATGACAAGGAGAAGGATAAGTACAGATCATTGGACGATCTAATCTAAGAGGAAAAAAAATCTTATCATAAGAATGATGATAGACACAGAGACAATAGAAGAAACAGAGATAGAGATAGAAGAAGATCAAACTCAAACAACAAAGGTAGATTTTTGTTGGTTGATTATAAAAAATTAATTTAGAACATGGAAATGGAAGCTACAAAGTCTTTGTGAGCAATCTTTCCTTTGATACAACTTGGAAGACTTTAAAAGATCACATGAGAAAGGCAGGGGAAGTTGTGAGAGCTGATGTGTTTATGGATGATAGGGGCAGATCAAGAGGCCTTGGAATTGTTGAGTATAAGTCTAATTCAGATGCAACTAGAGCCATTAAGGAACTACATAATAGCACTTTGGATGGTAGAGTTATCTTTGCGAGAGAGGTGGGTATTATCGAAAAAATTCTTGCCTTAACGGATGTTGTTTTTGGCCCTATGTTTATATTTCAGGAGGCTCTTTAGATGTTTACTTTGATATTAGGATGAGGAGAGAGGTGGCGGTGAAAGAGGCCATGATAGATCTGGGAACGGTGGAGGTGATTACAGTCACAAGAGAAATGATAGAGTTGAAAGAGTTCGAAGAAGTAGGTCAAGATCATTATCTATTCAAAGAAAGGGCTAGAAAGATGCTGATTCAAGAGACAAAGGAAAAAAGATATTTATTGGGAATTTGCCTTACAGTGTCAGTAAATAGTAATTAAAGGAAGCATTCAAAGAGTTTGGAGATATCTTAAGCACTGAAGTTTAGCATGATGATAGAGGAAAGTCAAAAGGATACGGAATCGTAATATTTTCCGATTGGGAGGCTGCAGATGAGGCTATCAAGCAGATGGACCAAGCAAAGTTTAACGATAGAACTGTCACTGTGAGACTCGACAGAAACTATTGATGACTAAAATTAAACAAATCCATTTATTAATCAAGTCAAAATCAGAATTTTAAATAAGTATGCTGGCGGGGTTTTGGGGTTTTGGGGTTTTGGGG